GACTCTCAACAGTTTCAGCCCAGGGATCTGGACCATGAACAAAAGAATTTCAAAGGAATAGGGAAGGTGGCGTGCCTACCCAGTGCAAGGCACCCAGTTCAAATTGCACTAGGGACATTTGCCCCCTCACTGCTGGGGTTTTCCAGTCCGGAGTTTGTCACCTAGATATAGGGTCATCTAGCCAATTATCCTGTGTTGACATGGCAGTCAATCTCATGATAACCTTGTGACAGTCTTGTACCTATTCTTTATGGTCTTGGTTCCATTGCTGATTTCTAGTGATTTTTCAGCCCTGATTCCTGGTTCTGGCTCAGCCCCCTTTCAACTCAACCTGGCTATCTTGCTTCACTCACAAACCCAGAGGAAGGACAGACAGAAGGGATAGGTCAGGCAAAAAGAGAAACCAGGGCTTGGAAGGTGGCTCAGTGGTAGAGCGCTTGCCTTGGATGCATGAGGCCCTGGGTTCGATTCCTCAGCACCACATAAGAAAAAAGCCGAGAGTGGCGCTGTGGCTCAAGTGGTAGAGCCCTAGCCTTGAGTTGAAGAGCTGAGGGACAGTGCTCAGGCCCAGAGTTCAGGCCCCACAACTGGACCCCAAAGAAAAAAAAAAAAGAAACCAGCTGCTGGGGGCAGCCAAAGGTGGGAGAGGACCTTCTGGGCAGAGAGGTGAGAGGTGAGCACAAAGGTGGGGGCCAATCAGAGGCTCTGCCAGCCAGCCTTACTTGTTGCACACTTCACAAAACCAAAACAATGTCTAAAGCACCATTTCACTTGCTTTATGCTTCCTCCGGCTTCTTCATGGACACGGGAAGGACTTAGTGGTGGTGCTGCTGCTGCTGCTGCTTGAAGTCATGGCTAAGGAAAGGGGCGGAAAGCTCTGGATGAGGAACTTTCACACAAGAGGAGGGAGCCAGCCCTCCATAGGACAGTATAGGAAACACTAGAGCAAACACGCTTACTTGCTGAGCACTTACCCCTTCTCCTGTGTTGTACTTCACTACAGCCTGGCACACCAGTCTAGCCAGCAAACAGTTCCTCCTCTATAGTTTCCAGCCTAATTTGTAGTCAGGATTCTCCTTTCCCTCGACATGAAACCCAATACCTTTCTGTGATGAGAGGGAATTTGTTCCGTTCTATGTACCAATTAGTGGCTGTGATTCTCTGTCCTGGTTCCCTTGCCGCTCCCTGGAACCTCCCCAGGAGCGAGCACCCACCCCCGCCCCCTTGCAGGGCCACCAGGCTGGGGGAGCTGATGAGAACTGGGAAGGCACCCGTGGTGTGGAGCGGGTCATGGTTGAGTTCTTCGGCACAAACCGCAGGCTTCCACTTTGCATCCAGTGCTTCCTTACCATCTGAAATTACATCAGGCTGGGTTTGGTTTGAATTAAAGGGAGGGGTCTTTTGGAGGAACAAGGCCTCCGATTTGGTGCTGGATGACTTAGGGCCACCCGCTGGAGAGCTTTTAAAAATTAAACTCACACATGTAGCCAAGCTGTCTCCATGTGCTCAACACACCAAGCCTTGCAATCAGGCCTGGCCTGCCTTCCTTCTGAGGCACCTCTCCAGGGCCTGGTGGAGGTCAGAGCCTGAGACACAAAGATCAGAGTGGGAAACTGCACCCTTGGGAGAGGGGCCACCCCCCCCTCCTCTCAGGCTTCACAGCCACCAGCCTGGGGCTCTCAGGAATGAAGGAGATGGGGACCAGGGTCTAGAGAGAAGGAAAAGAACATACATATTATAAGGGGACAAATCGAACAGCCTTCACAGCACAGCACAGCCAGGCCGTCTGCCTTCTTTATCACCATTCAACATGGCTTCCTCCCTCTTCGTGGGCTGGTCACGAGGCCATTCTCCTTTCCTGTGCCCGGCAGTTATGTCATCACACTCCCACACCACTCTTCCTTGGTATCTCTGAGCAAGTTGCTCTCTCTGGGAAGTAGCCTCGCAAGTCCAGGGATCCCCGTATTTTTCATGGGGGGCACCCTGCCCCCCACACTTCACCTCTACAGCACAAGAGCAGGGTGGCGGGGTGCGCCACCGCAGTGGGGCACCCTGAGTAAAGTTCATTTTCTGTACTTGGTCACACTGGGTGGGCAGAACAGCTTTTCCTTTGAACTTCTATTTGTATTAGCCTGTGACCAAATACCTGACAGACATGACTTAGAAAATTAACATTTATTTCGCTCATGGTTTCAGAGGGTCAGTCCATGGTTGACCACATGCACTTGCATATAACTTGCCTAGAACCAGGGACAAGATAAGTAGCAAATATCTGTCATATCCCCATCACTAAGTATAGACAATAAATGTTTGTAAGATGAGCAGGTGAATGACGGAAAGTATGTGTAAGTGAAAACACAGGCGGAAGACACAGATGTGTGGTTTGTGGTATGTGTGTATGTGTGTGCACATGCATGTGCACACAGAGCTGTGTGGCTAGAGGAAAGGGGTGTGGCCAGTGATACGTAGGGAAGAAGAAATGTTCTCATCCTTGGGCCCACCAAGGATGTGATTGTGAACTTGATCATGACATCTTTGAGAAGGGCTGAAGAGGCCTGAGCAGGGCTCTGGCAGCCTGACAAACCTAACTCTCACACAAGACCCCAGTGTGCTTAAGTATTTAGGGCCTTAGGAAACCAGCAAAGAGAGTTGATCCTGACTGACACAGGGTGGGGAGCCATTGTGGTTGAGTAATCTAATTGAGTTTGCTCAACAGTCAGTAAATGCAATTTGCAGAATCATAATTATATATGCATTTGCTTCTTCCCTCCAAAAACTCTGCACAGAAGACTCAGTTATACTGATTTGTAAAACATAGCATTGAAGCTCTGATACTTCACAGTTCTCCACCTGCCTTTCTCACCCCATTTATCTTTTGTTCTGTTTCTAATTGAAGTCAATCTTCCCCATATGCAGATTAGGCAGATTTACTTGATGTGGTTTTCACCTAGATCTGTTTTGCTTTGCTTGTCTCAACTGTACCATTTCTGTGCTTTCAAATCATTATTTGGCAAAAGATTTTTAGCTGTAATTAAAAGCATCTAATCACATGAAAAATCCTAATGGTAAATCTTATAAACCTATGGCACATTGCAAAGAAAATGTAAATCTTAACAATGTGAGAGCCAAGTTGGATTTCAAAAATGAAAACCCAAAGTGCATAAATAGACTGAAATACAAACTGTGGAAGAGAGAGGACCCAGATGTGAAATTCACGCTTTAAAAGTCTCCTCAATGTTTACACAGCAATAAAACATGGAAGAGTTTTAGAAGGGCTCACAGGCAACCACAGTAGCAAGTGCAATTGTCCAGGTTTAATTTGTTGATAATGTAAGAAAGATTGTGTTTATTTAAGGACAATTCAATTGAATACATGTTTTTACAGAAATGTAACATTAAATAAAGATATGTTACTATGAGCTTGGCCCGCAAAGTATTAGTACCTTGTTTCTGATAAAGTTTGATGACTAAGTTTTAAAATATGTAAAGCAGAGAAAGCACATTAGTAACCCTTGGTCCCTGGCTGTGTAGGGAGCATCATATTGAACCCCTCTGGAAAGGCAGTTCTCACCTTTATTATTTGAGTGTTAGTAAAAAGATTTTTATGTGTTTTTAAATCATGAGGCTAAAATCAAAGGTAAAAGATGGATATAAAATGCCTATAATTCTATAATGAGGATAGTACTTCAGAGCCAGCCTGGAGAGACAAATCTCCCAGACTGTTATTTCCAATTACCAGTAAAAATACAGGCCTGGAGGTGGGGCCAACGGGGAGCAGAAAAAAAGCTGAATCAAAGTGTGAGGCCCTGAGTTCAAGCCCCAGTACCAGTACCAAACTGAAGTCTACTAAGTTCAAAAGGTACCTTTAAAGTCTAACGTGAGTTATTGCATCCTTTTTAGAAATCTTATTATAAATTAGATTATGTTGAAAAGTTGACTAGCAATGTTTTTCCTTGGAGCAGCCAATAAAAAATGTGAAAGGCCTGTATTTTAAATTTCAAATAAAAAATTTGATACTCCTGGGGCGGGGGGAGGGGTGGAGGAAGGGAATGAAAGGCTCAAGATGTATTGTACTCATAAACTGACATGTTAAGTTGAAACTCCTTTGTATAACTACTTATAGGTTTTAAATAAATCTAAAAAATTTTGATACTCCAAAACTATACATTTATAGGGTACCACGTGACGTTTCAATAAATGTGTACACTGTGGAATGTTTAAGTCAGAATAAACTTACCTGTCTCCTCAGCATTATCATTTCCTTATCGTGAAACATTCAAAATCCTTCCTTCTAAGCTTTGGATGTATTTTTATATATGTAATATAGAATATTTGCATATTTTTGTGTATGTTTTTTTGGAGAAAGTTCTATGATAATGTGATTCAGATAATAAAATTATTTAGTCGAGTTTATAGTCTTTTTTTTTTTTTTTGGGTCCAGTCGTGGGGCCCGAACTCTGGGCCTGGGTGCTGTCCCTCAGCTCTTCAGCTCAAGACTAGCGTAGGTACCACTTGAGCCACAGCGCCACTTCTGGCTTTTTTCTTTTTGCTTATGTGGTGCTGGGATATCGAACCCAGGGCCTCACGCATGCAAGGCAAGCGCTCTACCACTGAGCCACCTTCCCAGCCCGAGTTTATAGTGTTTTATATAATTAAATATAACTTGAGAAAAGATGGTGATTCACAGTGATAGAGATTTCAATCCACAGTGGCTGGCCCCATGGTTAGGGTAGCACATCAAGGCAGGCACCCAAGGCAGAGGAAGCTAGTCACCTCAGGTTGGGAAGTGAAACTAAGAGGATAAAAAGGGTGAGGATCCCTCCTTCAAGGGTACTCCCCAATGAGCTAACTTCCTCTCATAGGTTTGGCTCAAGTGGTAGAGGGCCAGCCATGGGCAAGAAAACAAAGTACACAAGGCCCTAAGTTCAAGTCCTGGTGCCCCTCTCCCCCAATTATTTTTAAAGAAGGAAGTTAATATACTATCAGCCTTGAAAATATTCAGAGATTTTCATATAATATTAGAAAACTTGTCCTCTTGTATTTTTAGCTCCACAGTGGCTGCTTATTGATAAAAATAATCATATTCAAGTCTTCCTGTGGAGTAACAATTTTGCAATTCCTTTCAAAAGTTAAGTAGAGAAATCACTTATACATCCTCCTGATGATTAAGTTCCAGTTGTTTGACAATGAGATACTTTATTAAACTTGACACATTTACTATACAAGAATTCTGTGAAAAAAAATGAGAGTATCAAGTTGTTTTGGACGTGAATCTCTGCACTGTCAAGTCAGTCCCCAACCATGTTATCTTATATATCCTGTGACTGTAAGCATACCGATAAACAGAGGCAGCAACATCCTTTCCCAGTAAGAAATAGCAGATCCTGTCTTTCTGCAGACGTGTCTATGGTATTCGAAGTCTTCCTAGCAAAACAAGTAGACTGACGAGGTCCCTATGGGGTGTCACTGGGAAGGGTGACCTGAACAAGCACCTGTGTCGGCCCTATATCTGTGCTGATGTGTGGTCCACACTTGTCAGCTTTGGCAAGGGCATCTTCCTCTCAACCGTAGACCTCTCCTCAGACTATTCAGACACTCCTTGGAGGGCTGAAACTTCTGGAAAAGAGAGGGAGGGAGGGAACAGAAGGTCTAGATTATAGCAGCAGTACCCAGACAATCCAATCAGCCACACCAGTGATAAGGGAAACAAGTCTTTTTTTTTTTTTTTGGGTCCGGTCATGAGGCCTGAACTCTGGGCCTGAGCGCTGTCCCTCAGCTCTTCAGCTCAAGGCTAGCGCTCTACCACTTGAGTCACAGCGCCACTTCCAGGTTTTTTTTCTTTTTTGCTTATGTTGTGCTGAGGAATCGAACCCAGGGCCTCAGGCATGCAAGGCAAGCACTCTACCACTGAGCCAGCTTCCCAGCCCGGGAAACAAGTCTTTGTACAAAAACGCTCTCAGGTCTAGCAAAAACTGACCCAGGTGCCAGTGTCCCCAATCTGTGCAACTCTACCCACTCTCTTACCAGGTCTGGCCGTCTCTTCTAGGAGGAGGCGGTGGTTGGTGAACAGTTCTGTGGAGTCCTGTTCTACTGATTTCTCCTCTTGGTCTGATTCTGGGATTGGAGTACAACCGCCTAGGTGAAAACACATAGTGTTTTAGATTAGGCAGTCTGCCTCTGTACATAGTAACTGCAGTGTAGAAATGCTCCAAACACGAAGATTATACATGGAGTGACCACAATCAGGACCGGGCCACAGAGAGTTAACTCTTTTTAAAGTTTTTTTTTTTTTAATTGTGATTAAGTGGTTACATTCCTTCCCAAATTTCACAGTATTGTGGGATAGTGATGCTCAGTTAAAGTCACAAACACATTCTAACTTTCCTGGAGCAAATTGTCTATCACAGTCTATAACACTTGTGAGTTCTGTGGGCTTTGCGATACAGTTATTTCTTCTACATTGGGTGGTAATTACATTTCTTTTGTTTTGCATAGCATCAGCTGTTCCCTCTTTCCCATTTGTTCCCTCCCTCCCATTGCTGCTATTGAGTTGCCTAGTTCATTTTGGTCAATGTCCAGTGCAGCTGATGGGTCCCGCTGTTTTATGTTTTTCCCTGATTCCCTCTAGTTCTGTGTTGTCCTCCTGGTTTCCCTCCAGTGTGCACATATATACCATACATGTGATCAGCAGCATGGGGTTATTTAGTAGTGATTCGACCAGATGAGTGGAAGTCCTTTGTTTCTTAAGTCCTTTTAATTTTGTTATATCACATTTGGATTTAACATCCACTTATCAGGGAGACCATGTGCCGTTTGTCTCTTTGTACTTGGCTTAACTCGCTCAACATAATTTCTTCTAGTTCCATCCATTTCCCTGCAAATGCCATTATTTTGTCCTTTCTAATGTCTGCATAATATTCCACTGTGTATAGATACCACAATCTTTGGATCCATTCATCTGTGGTGGGACATCTGGGTTGTTTCCATATCCTGGCTATTGTGAACAGTGCTGCAATAAACATGGAGGTGCATGCGTCCTTGTATACTGGTTCCTGTTGTTCAGGGTAGATGCCTAGAAGTGGTATGACTGGGTTATAAGGGAGGCCAATATTTAGCTTTCTGAGGACCCTCCAGACTGCTTTCCAAAGTGGTTGTATAAGTGTACATTCCCACCAGCAGTGTAATAGGGTTCCTCTTTCTCCACATTCCCTCCATCATTTGTCATTGGCTGACTTGAGGATGTGGGCCATTCTGACTGGGGTAAGGTGGTATCTCAGGGTTGTCTTTATTTGCATTTCCTTCACAACCAGGGATGGTGAACATTTCCTCATGTGTTTCTTTGCCATTTTTATCTCTTCTTCTGAGAAGTCCCTCTTTAGTTCCCTTGCCCATTTAGTAATTGGTTTGTTGGGTTTGGGAGGGATTAGTTTCTTGAGTTCCCTGTATATACTGGATATTAACCCCTTGTCTGATATACTGCTGGTAAATATTTTTTCCCAATTAGTTGGATGTCTTTCTAGCTTGGTTGTTATAGCTTTAGCTGTGCAGAAACTTTTTAAGGTAGTCCCATTTGTTGAGAGTCTCTCCAATTTGTTGTGACCCTGGGACTCTGTTCAGGAAGTTCCTTCCTGTGCCTGTAAGTTCAAGTGTTTCTCCTACTCTGTCCTGAAGTAGTTTCAGAGATTCAGGTTTGAGGTCTTTAATCCATTTTGAGTTGATGTTGGTGCATGGTGATAGGCTGGGGTCCACTTTTAGTCTTCTGCATGTGGCCACCCAGTTTTCCCAGCACCAGTGGTTGAAGAGGCTGTGTTTCTTCCACTGTATGTCTTTGGCTCCTTTGTCCTTCGAGTCTGTTTTTGTGCCAGTACCATGCTGTCTTTGTTATTATGGCTCTATAGTAGAGTTTGAAGTTCGGCATCGAGATCCCTCCCATGTTGTCTTTTTTTCCTAGAATTGTTTTGGCTATTCTAGGTCTTTTGTTGTTCCATATGAATTTTTGGACTGTTTTCTATATTTCAGAGATGTACATCATCGGGATTTTAATAGGAATTGCATTGAATTTGTATATTAATTTTGGCAGTATTGCCATTTTCACTATATTGTCTGCCTATCCAAGAGCATGGAAGGTCTTTCCATTTCCTAGTGTCTTCTGTAATTTCTTTCTTTAACTTTTTATAGTTTTTGTTAAATAGTTCTTTTACATCTTTGGTTAGGTTAATTCCTAAATATTTCATTTTTTGGGAGGTTATTGTGAATGGGATTGCTTCCCTTATTTCCCTTTCTGCTTGTACATTGTCAGTGTACAGGAAGGCGACTGATTTTTGTGGGTTTATTTTGTATCCTGCTACTTTGCCGAAGTGATTTATGATTTCTAAGAGTTTGGGGATGGAGTTTTTGGGATCGTGAAGGTATAGTATCATGTTATCTGCAAAAAGGGATAGTTTAATTCTTCTTTCCCTATGCAGATCCCTTTAATGTCTTTTTCTTGCCTTATTGCCCTGGCTAAGGGTTCCAGGACTATATTGAAGAGGAGTGGAGACAATGGGCATCCTTGCCTTTTTCCTGATTTTAGAAGGATTGGTTGTAGCTTTTCCCCGTTAAGTATAATATTGGCTACTGGTCTGTGGTATATGGCTTTTATTGCTTTAAGGAATGTTCCTTCACAGAGAGTTATCTTAAACACCTCTCCAGTGAATGAGTCGTGTTCTTCAGACACTTAAGAGGATGGGGCAGACAAACCCCACAGTACATTGTAAGCTGCAAAGGCACGCAAGCACAGGGTGGGGACAGCAGCGCAGTGGCGCTGGTGCCCGAGGGTTTCTGCTCTCCTCCAGCCCCAGGCCTCCTGCACAGTTTCCCACCAAGCTCTCTACAGCTCATCAGCAAAGCCACGAAGGCACTACCGGAAGGTCTGACCCACGGCGGACTGAGGGTGTAGCGCAAACCCTTGCGAGAGTTCCCTGGGCAGGCGCATTCCCAGTGTCAAACTCGCAGGTCCCTGGATAGGCACAACCATCCACTAACAACAGAGTGGGCCCAGCTCTGCAGGCAAATGACCATCTCCCCTAGAAGGAGGCCCACCATACTGGGGAAGAGGGCCATCTACCGGGAAGGAGGCCCACCTCCCCGGGAAGAGGGCCATCTACCAGGAAGGAAGCCCATCTCACTGGGGAAGAGATCCATCTCACCCAGAAGGAAGGCCCGGTTTTCCTTTTTCCCGAAGCCTGCAGATCATGGCAGCAGGCTTTCTAAGTGCTGGAGCAGCACCACAAGAAAGGCAGTTGTTCTCATTTAAAGATAGGAAAACAGGTGTCATGAGATGAAACAGCCTCTTTCATTTTTACTCAGAAAAGGCACAGGATCGTGCGGGAGGGGCCAGGGGTGGTGTAGTGGGCGGGGCCAAGGGCTCCTGTAGGACCAATGAAAGGGCAGGAAGAGGGAGTACTTGCTGTTGGTTGGAAGTCAGATGAAAGTTTGGTTTCTCATTTTAGGCTCGGATCAGGGCAGGGACTTCTCCATAGCTGGGCCAGAGTTGGACAGACAGCTCCTCCTCTTCCCCCCACCCCCATGGAAATAGAGCCACGTCCACCCTACTTAACTGTCTCCAGTGATGAATTACAATCTACCTTTGATGCCAGCTGACATAAAACCTATAAACACTTAAAAAGCGCTTTGTAGTTATTTACCATGTGAAAAAGAAACATCATTTGCTGTGGGCAACCAACAGTTAGTGTGAATTTCTCTCTTTGCCTAACCCTAAATTCAGGAGGTGAGGAGCTACCTGCATCTGTGCTCTACACCTAGGCGCTGTACTGGCCTGACACTGCCTGCTGCCTTAGCACCACACAGGAGTCCACACCCACTGCACAGCTTCTTAGTCCCTTGCCCTGACTATGCACTCGCCTTCTCCCTGCAGTCAGACTGTCAACCTTGGGTCCAGAGTCCCTGCCAATCCTTGGCGGGGAAGGATAATGGGTGTGGACTCAAGGAGTCTCCATCTGCCTTTCCCCAAGCTGCGGTGAGGTCACTACTCTCTTCAGACCTCCAGAGAAGCGCTGTGTGAGAGAGGATGCATCCCACGAGTCTCTCTGGCTCTTGAGAAGAAGTGCCACCTGTGCAGACTTCATCCCAGGCATACCTCCCACATCTTCCCATTCCCTTTGCCCTTTCTTGGGTCTGCACCTCCCCCATAAATTACCACCATTTTAATCCTTGCCTCTGGCCATTTTCTTGCAAAAATCATTGGCACTAGAAGTAGTTCTAAAAAAATAATCAAGGCTTCAAGAGGGAATTTTGAAGTTTGTCAACAGGCCACTCATTTATAAGAGCCAGGGGCTCCACTGCTGATGCTAAGGGTGAGGGTAACAAGTCCTGGTGTGAACTGCTTAAGCTTCTGCCCTTGGTTAACTGGAATGACCTGCATCTAGAGGTCAAGACACTGGGAGATTCCGTGGCATGGAATATTTATAATCATAAGAATTTTAGTGTAGATGAGTACCCTGCAAAAAGAAAATGGCAGGCTCAGTGACGGGCAGAAGAATGTCAAAAAGAGTCAGCACTAGCAGCAAAAGGATCATCTAGGTGCTGAGTAAAAATGCACAATCTTAGGCTCCCACCTATACCTGCTGAATCTGAGTTTGCTAAGGGCAGAGGGGCATTTAGGAAGATTTTTGCTAGGAAAAAAGCTTATGTATATGTGTGCATATGTATATGTACATATATATTCAAGAATTTAAGAGTAACAACAAAAGAGAACAGACTTTTAAACTAATGAGATAATCCGAAGTGGAACCTGTGTCCTCCAGATACTAGATGAAGAACTTTAGCCTCCAAGCCTTCACCCCAGTAAAGAAGGGAAAGGAAACTCACACTGGATGGACTATTCCAAATAAAAACTGAATGTGCAACACACAGGAGCTACAAGCAGTCATAGGGAATAGTGGAGGATTTCCCGACCTGGACATCAACTAAGGGCATCCAAGAAGTTAGGATCTAACAGTAATGTGGACCTACTACATGCTGGGTGCACTGCTGCACATGAAATATGTTAACTCAGTCCTCAAATCATTGTTCCAGGAAGGGTTCCTGGTCCTCATTTTACATGTTGACAGTAATTTCTTTTTTCTTTTGCTGTT